TAAACCTTTCCTATCTAGTTCAGCTTACCATTAGGGGGAAAGAAAAATCAAAGATTCAAGGGCAAACAAATTAGATATGTTCAGATTTCTTACTACCGCTTTGATAGCACCCAGAAACAGCACTTAAAATCCATGCTGGAGGAGATTACAGACCATGTCACATTTCCTACAGAAGCAATAGCCCAGCCCTAGGTAGGATGCATTGGGAAGGCTGCCAACGTGCCAAGAGCCATCCTTTGAGAACCCCTGTTCTAGAATCAAACAAATCCTAGTACACTGGACTCCAAGACAATCCTCTTCTCTGACTGATACCACAAGACTCAGGTGCTTGTCCTGGTCCTTTGACCTCCCATACCAACACTGAGGGTGCTACCATTTTGGTTGGGTGCCAAGGTCACAGCATGATTTCATCCTGGTATTTACAGCTGATGGTTAGTGTGGCCATATTAGCCCATGCTGTCCACTGGCCAGCCAAGCCACTTTGGGATTCCCTTGACAATCCTGTAATTTCTGACTAGATCATCCCACAAGCCAGAGAGGCAAAATTCACTGACTAGAGCTGATTTAAGTGTCCAACTTGACTCACAAAAAAGAATGAAAGAGGACAGATAAGTGGCTGCTCATGTATACTCTGCAAGGCTTCAAAGAAAGTCACGTCATAGGTGTCACCAGCCTGTGCAAGTACTGTATCTTAAGGGGCGCTCACTCTCATCTCGATTACTTGCAGGCACCCCCCGGGGATAAAAGAGACAGAAGAGAAGGGACTGAGGCTTTAGGGGAACAGAGGAATGAAGGTCTAGGGATGTTTTCTTTCTGATGGAAGCAGACAGGGAATTCTTAACTACTTGACTTCTCTGAATTGGCCGTTTGCCTTTCTGAAATGAACATTCTGTGCTAAACTTCAGAAAGAATACCGGCCACGTCAGGGTGGGAAGGCCTGAAGCCATATATGTGGATGGCTAATGCTTCCCTGTCCAAGGGCTGGCACAGCTGGGACCTCGTTGAAGGTAGCCAGCAGTTAGGCCACGTGAACACAGGTATCTCAACTCTTGGGAGAGAAACAGGGATGCTTGAGGTAGTACCTGATGAGGCTAAATTAGGATATTTTGCAGTAAAGAAATTGGAACTGGGCGCAGTGGTGCATGCCTGTAATCCCAGCGGCTCAGGAGGCTGAGGCAGGAGGATCGCAAGTTCCAAGCCAGCCTCAGCAAAAGCAAGGCCCTCAGCAACTCAGTGAGACCCTGTCTCTAAATAAAATACCAAATAAGGCTGGGGCAGTGGCTCATGGTTGAGGGCCCTCGAGTTCACTCCCCCCAAAAAAATTGGAAAGAAAATATGACTAATTTATTTCTTTTGTTTCCTTGAAACAGCATGCCTTAGAGAAGTCATGTATTGGAAGGCAAAGAAAATTCCAATATGTCTCCCCCTTGAGTATCACGGTGGTGGAGGTGGATGGAGGGGTAAACAGGTATTAACAAAGAGCTTTTTTCGAGCTCCAGCTACCAGATGCCAAAATGCTTCTAACTGATGAATACTTAACCAGGCGGCCAAGCCCCAAACTGTGCCTTAAGTTTGCCCCTGTTCAATATCTACGATAGCATGTGTTAATGCTCTCCAATTCTGTCTTGTCAAGGAACCCTTCACCTCAACTTTTTGTTTTTTAAACCTCATCCTTTACCTCAACTCTTATCAAAAAAGTAGCTAAATCTTCTCTCTCTCCTTCACTGATTCTTTTCTTCAATACATCTTTCCTTCCTTCATTTTTTTCTTTCTTTGCAACCTAGGGATTAAACCAGGACTTTGCACAGGCTAGGCAAGTGCCAAACTGCATTTCTTTAACTTCCTTATCTCAAGCCTTGAAATCTTTGAAGATTTTTTTTTTTATCCTTTTAAAAAGGATCCCTTAAAAAAAATTCTTCCTGGGGCTACGGGGGTGGCTCAGTGGTAGAGCACTTGTCTAGCATGTGTGAGGCACTGGGGTCGATCCTCGACATCACATATAAATACATAAAGGTCCATTGGCAACAAAGAAAATATTTTTTAAAAATTCTTTTCTTGGGCTGGGGATGTGGCTCAAGCGGTAGCGCGCTCGCCTGGCATGCGTGCGGCCCGGGTTTGATCCTCAGCACCACATACAAACAAAGATGTTGTGTCCGCCAAATACTAAAAAATAAATATTAAAAAATTCTCTCTCTCTCTTAAAAAAAATTCTTTTCTTTCAACCTTGCAGAAGCAAATATTGCACTGTAATCTTATTTATTCATTTATTTTCTAAGTAAAACAAGGATGGCTTTACCATTAGGAAGAAAACTTGTTTTTCTTGTTTCATTATCTCCCTATGGTTGGAAGATCCTGTTTGGAAGCCAAATTGCCAGGCCTTCCTTTCTCATCAGAGAGAAATGAAAATGACAACAACTCTCAAAGTGCAAAGGACCTCCAATGGCAGAAAGGACAAAGGAATGGGCGCCATACCACCTAATTTCATTGGGAAGGTAAAGAACTCTCCTGTCCCCATTTTCAGCTAGAGAACCTGCCTCATTCATCCCTGGAATAGCCATGCTAGATGTCTTGGGACACTATCTGGTAACCCGGATGACTTATTGAAGGATGGTCACAGGACCCAAGGCCAGCCCACTAGTTGGTTGGCCATCATCTTCTTAAATGCTTCACATAGACCCAAAGGAGTTAGTAGCTGCTAAACCTTGAGTTTAAAGGTCAACTGACACTAGGGCAATCACAGTGGCCCATGGAATCAAAAGAGAACAAGCTGGCCCAGGCATGCTGGTGCATGCCTATCATCCCAGCAGCTCAGGAGGCTGAGACAGGAGGATCGAGAGTTCAAAGCCAGCCTCAGCAACTTAGTGAGGACCTGAGCAACTCAGCGAGACCCTGTCTCCAAGAAAATACAAAATAGGGCTGGGGATGTGGCTCAGTGGTCAAGCGGCCCTGAGTTCAATCCCTGGTACCCGCCCCGCTCCACAAAAAAAAAAAAAAGAGAGAGAGAGAGAGAGAGAACAAACTCAGAAACAGGGACCTGAATTTTGCAAAAGTAAAGAATGAATCACAAAATTGCATTGGAAACTCCAAGGTTTAAGAGGCCCTTGAACTAGGCCTGTAATTCCCAGTGACCCCTAGCAACTTAGCAAGACCCTGTCTCATATAAAAAATAAAAAGGGCTGGGGATGTGGCTCAGTGGTTAAGTGCCCCTTGGGTTCAATCCCTGGTACCAAAAAAAAAAAAAAAAAGAGAGAGAGAGAGAGAGACACACACACCTTGTGGTCCTTGTAAGACAGAACCTCGAGTTTCACCTTGTGATTATGGTCTTGCTCAGGATGAGACCCAATTGGCTTCATCTCAGAATGGCTTTCCTAGTGTTTCATTAACTCTTTCTTATTTGAGTTACTTTAAGTTGTAGTTTCTCCAAAAAAAAAAAAAAGGCCCAAACAGAATCCTGCCCAACCCTCTGTCTCCCATTACATCTTCCCTGCCCTCTGCCCTGGCTAGGAGAATCTTTAGACCGTCCCCAGTACCAGCCAGGCTGCAAGGGATCTTGCTGCCTGTGTCTGTCGCTGCTTGACTGGTATTATTGCAGAATTCCAGAATTTCCCCCTCCTCTCCACAATGTCCCTATTCTTATCTGCAAAGTTGACAGGGTGAGGATGAGGGACTCATTTCTATGGAGGGCACTGATAAGAACTTTCCATTTTTAGACAGTCCTGGTTACTTAAAGTCCAACTCACTTTTTTCCAAATCCCACCCATTGTTCCTAGCTCTGTTTTCCAGAATTATGCACAAGAAATCCCACTCTTTTTCTATCTTGGTGCATATTGAATTTTTGACAACATGTGCTTTCTAAGAATTCTCACCTTCTATCTATTAATCCTGATGAGGTAATTTAAAGGCCCTTCTCTCTGCCTGTGGCTCCCATTCTCCGGGCAATGCCCCAACCCCATTTCTATTTCATCCATTTTCACCTGCAGTTGGCGACTCAGCCTAACCCTCCCTTCCTGTGAGATGTGTGCTAATCACAGTCAGAGGGAGGCAGGACAGGACAGAGGTCAGAAACATTGGGGGTTCTGGAATCCAACAAAGCCAAGCCTGGCTTCTGGCTTTTTCATTCATTAACTGTAACTCCTCGAGCATGTCACCTGACCTTTCCTGTACCTCCATGACCTTGTGTGCCACGTGAGTGGGGTCCATCTCTCAGTGCTGCTTTGCTACAGGCTAAGTTGAAATATGTAAAGTGCTTACTGATGTCCAAGGCATTCAGAAAGCACTTAGTCAAGGAAGTTTTATTCCATTTCTTTATGTATTTGGTATTTTCATCTCTCTGAGCTCAGTGGTCAGAGCTTGGGGAAACCATGGCTGGGTTACCAGCTGTGTGACCCAAGGCATGTCTGCAAAGTCTCCTCTAAACAATGAGGTGCAAAGAGGATCCTCTGCATAAGGCTGTTGTTCATGAAGTTTAATTGGATTAACATACGCAAAAAATTTAAAAGAGGCTCAGGAAAAACATATTGTAGGCCAGGCGCGGTGGCCCACGCCTGTTATCCCAGCCGCTCGGGAGGCTGAGGCAGGAGGATCATGATTTCAAAGCCAGCCTCAACAAAAGCAAGGCCCTCAGCAACTCAGTGAGACCCTGTCTCTAAATAAAATGCAAAATGGGGCTGAGGATGGGGCTCAGAGGTCGAGTGCCACTGAGTTCAATCCCCGGTACCAAATCCAAACCAGAGATCATCCTGGATGATGGTAACTGCATCTTTCCAGATCTCAGGCCGGCCATCTTTCTTCCCAAGCTCCCTTCATTGGCAGCCAAGAAACCATATTTTACATTTGACTTTCCTTGGTTTCAAAAACAAGTCTGTCTGAAATAATGAAAAAAATCAATGAAAAGCAAAGAAACAAGAAAATAAAAAAGTCCTGACTGGTGACATGCAAGGATGTCAGGCGGCCACGTGGGTACAGGAGAGGTGAACCAGGACCCTGGGGCGGACACCCACCTGGTGGTAAGAGATGGGGACGGGCTTCCGGAAGACGATCCACTCCACGATCTCGCTACAGGGCGGGGTGGTCAGGGAGCCCGTGTAGCGGTAGTAACTGCCCAGGGATGCCGGCAGAAGGTCTCGCAGGACAAAGGGGTCCAGGAAGGTCTCCTTCTCTGTGGGAAAGAGGCAGGAGATGGTGAGAGCCGCCATGCCACAAAGGTGGCCACGCCCCCCGCTGGTTGGCGCCACCCCCCCACAAAGGTAGCCACGCCCCCGGCTGGTTGGCGCCATGTCCGTCACCAGCCCTGAGAAGCACTGGTTCCGGGGTCAGCCGGGGGCCTCAGACACCAAGGCAGCTGGCCTCAGTTCATTACCACTGCACCTGAGGCTGCCCAAGTCAAGTGAGGCCTGACCAAGGCACAGCTCTGAAGTTAAAAACGAGGATCCCAGAGATAGGCTGCTTCCTGATTACAAATATACCTTCACCTTAACCAAAGAAATGACATTTTTTGTAAAATTTATTTGTTCTTTTTAGATACACATGGCAGTAAAGTGCATTTTGACATATCTACATACATGCAGTCTAACTTCCCATTCTTGTGGTTGGGCATGATGTGGAGTTTCCCTGGTCGTGTGTTCACATATGAACATAGGAAAGTTCTGTCCCATTCACTCCACTGTCTTTCCCATTCACATCCCCCTCCCTTCCCTTCATTCTCCTTTGTCTCATCCAGTGAACTTCCATTTTTCCCTCCCCTCCCCTTATTGTGAGTCAGCATCCACAAATCAGAGAGAACATCTGGCCTTTGGGTTTTTAGGGATTGGCTTATTTCACACAGCATGATAGTCTCCAGTTCCACCCATTTTCCGGCAAATGCCATCAATTCATTCTTCGTTATGGTTGAGTAATATTCCCTTGTGTATATATACCAGATTTTCTTTATCCACTCATCCACTGAAGGGCACCTAGCTTGGTTCCATAGCTTAGCTACTGTGAATTGAGTTGGTAGCATCACTATAATATGCTGATTTTAAGTCCTTTGGGTAGATACTGAAGTGTGGGACAACTGGATCAAATCGTGGTTCCATTCCAAGTTTGCTGAGGAATCTCCATACTGCTTTCTAGAGTGGTAGCATTAGTTTGCAGTCCCACCAAGAATGCATGAGTGAACCTTTTCCCCACATCCTCACCAACATTTTTTTAAAAAATATGTATTTTTCAGTTGTAGTTGGACACAATACCTTCATTCCATTCATTTATTTTTTTGTGGTGCTGAGGATCAAACCCAGGGCTCTCCATGTGCTAGGCGAGCGCTCTACCCCTGAGCCACAATCCCAGCCCCCTCACCAATTTTTATTGTTATTTGTATTCTTGATAATTGGCATTCTGACTGGAGTGAGATGAAATCTCAGTACAGTTTTAATTTGCAAAGAGAATGACACTTAAGGTGAGACCCAGCAATGACGCCTCATAAAAACTCTATGAGAAAATAAAGTAGAGTCTGGATTAGTATCTAGCCAAAGTCACAGAGCAATTAAGAAGCACAGTTGGGATACAAGCCAGGTATTTCAACACCCAGGACTGCACTGATCTGATTAAAGGAGCTAAATAAAGTTAATTGGAAGAAAATCGAAAAGTGAAGGAGAGTATTTTAGACAGTGGGAACAATATGTGCAAAGGCCCCGAGGCAGATAGGAATCGTCTAATAAAGATTGGGCACTATCTTATAATTCTCCCAAGCAGGCTCAATAGATCATCCAGCTTCCTTCACAACTCAGAGAAAATTCTAGTTCCTACTTGGATCTCTGGAGATGGAGTCCTAAATTTAAATCTGTGACTCTGTCTTCATTCCTGTTAAAAATGCATTAAGACTATTAGAGTCCTGCTAATGCTTTGCCTTGGCTCCTAAACAGCTTCTACTATAGCTCCCAGGACACTCCTGGGGGACCTCACAGAAGTACCTGTGCCTATTGGAATATTTTTTTCCAAGCTTCATACCTCTCCCTCATCTTCCATCTTTCATGCAGATGAGTCAGCACAGGTATCTGGCCCAATGCATCCCGAGGCTAAAGATGTCTATGTAACTGGAGGATGATGCAAAAACCCCAATAGAAATCGACTCTATCAGAACGACTGTAATTCCCCTTTGAAAGAGATGAGCTGGACAGGACAAGACTTAAGGTTGATTTGCACTTTACTATATGTGCTAAGGCATGATTCTATTTACTGGCCGCAAACATTTAAACAGTACTTTCTCTTTTTGGTACTGGGGACTGAACCCAGGGGCACTCAATCACTGAGCCACATCCCCAGCCCTTTTTATATTTTATTTAGTGACAGGGTCTTGCTGAGTTGCTTAGGGCCTCACTCACTTTTCCTGAGGCTGGCTTTAAACTTGCGATCCTCCTGCCTCCATCTCCAGAGCCACTGGGATCACAGGTATGTGCCACCACATGTGGCTTTAAACAGCACGTTCTACATGAGCCAGGTCCCACTGTAAAAGCTTTTTACATTTTAACTTATTTGATATTCAGTATAACTTCACCAAGTTTGTCCTAGGATCATTCCCAATTCACAGAGCCCAAAACCAGGTATTTATGTTTGCAATCCCTGACCTTCATAATCCACATCACTATGCTCTCCAACTTTCCAGATGTGGGCTTTAGGGCACAGAAAAGTGACATAATGAGGCCCATGGTCACATGTGAGCAGTGGAGTAGTAATAGCTGTGATTCACAAACCTTCAAAACCAAAGCTGATTCTCGTAGAGGTTTTTGCTACATTTTTTTTTAAAGGAAAAATTAAGTATCAACTAAAAGATGCAAAAGTCTTCAAATCACAGGGCCCACAATCAGGACGACCACACCAGTTTCTGTTGGATCAAAGGTTGCAAACAGTGGCACTGTGCCTCTACCCACTGGCAAGGCTGGGCTTTAATTTAACCCTGGAACCAGCAGCCTAATGAGGGGGGAATCTCCAGGAGTGCACATGGCTTGGCTGGGACTGGCTTGGCTGGGAGAAGAAAATATTCTGGCCTTAGCTAAAGCCTCTGCACTTCCAGGGCTGTGTAAATAGCCAACAGGAATCCTGAAGCACTCAGAGGGTGCAGGGGGCTTGGCACCACGAGTGCACACCTGCAACCTTCCCATCTCCCTGGTGGCAGATGAAGCTGGTGTCACACTGCAGGACACAAATCTGCCTTAGGGTCCGTGGCTCCAAACCAAAGGAGCAGAACAATCTGAGGTGTTTTCCCCCAGGGCCAGATCTAGAAGCCCTGGTGAGCCCTCCAGAAGCAGCAGACAACCCCTGCAGAGGAGGGGGCTGGGGGGCCCTTGCAGCAGAGCTCCCAGGACCACACCCCCCTCCAGGAGGCCACCAGGTTGAAGAGTATCAAAAGTTAAAGCGGAAACACCAGGCACATCAGCAGGGGAGACTCCCTTTCAAAGGGGAACAAGGGTACAGCAGGATCAGACTTGCAAATAATGTTCCTTCACTGGGCAGGAAACAGGAAGTGAGACCCCTGTGTGAATGCAGGAGGGCTTCTCTGTCCTTGACCAATCCAAGGGCTCTAGAGGCAAGGTACAGGCTTCCACTCATTTAGAGTGCAATCAGACCCGGGCACCATGGCTTGTGCCTGCAATCCCAGTGGCTCAGGAGGCTGAGGCAGGAGGATTGTGAGTTCAAAGCCAGCCTCAGCAATTCAGCGAGGCCCTAAGCAACTCAGGGAGATCCTGTCTCTAATAATATATATATAAATGGTGGAGATGCGGCTCAGTGGTTAACCGACCCTGGGTTCCAATGCCTGGTTACCCCCACCACCCCCCTGACCAAAAAAAAACCTCAGTTGGATGAGTGACAGGATGGGAGACCCAGACTGGGGGACAGAAGAAGAGGGCTTGGCTTCAATGCTTCTTCACACCACCACCATTGCTGGTACGGATTTTAGAACTCTGTGATTCACAAAAAGGCTTGGGCTGCCCCAGGGAGCCCACACTTGGAAGTCCAGCACTTCTAAGAGCTCAGGGCACAGCCACCATGGCTGAGGCTGAGTTGGGGACCCAGGGACACTTTGAAAAGCACCAATTTAGTCAAATTCTTTTAACTTTGGAGCTGGGAATAAAAGACCAGGGGGAACTAACAGACCCAATGTCAGAAATTCAAGAATGCAGACTTGAATGGAATTCTTGCTTTACGGAAACCACTGAGGACCTGAAACACCCGGACCAGCGACCCATGTCACCCAGAGCTGCACGTGGAGTCTAGCCACCATCCTGACCTCATTCCTATCCTAATTATGTATAATTACTCTTCCTCTTATCCGCCGAGGTCTTGCCCTGTACTTCCTTGCTTGCTTTGTGAGTATGTATTTTTTAACAACTGCATAACTAGTGCACACACACTGTGTCTGCTATATTCTCCATCGGCCTCAGCAGGCCTGGTGGGAGTTTTCTATGCTAAATCTCTAGCAAGAGTTTTGGAACCAACTGATATTTAACAGCTGTGTGACTTTAGGCAAAGGCCTTAACGTCTCTGAGCTGCTTCTTCGATCTGTAAAAATGGCAATGATGAGAACATGTATCCCTTAGGGTGGCTGTGCCAATTAAGGAGCTAATTGATGTAAGGGGCTTAACACAGTGCCTGGCTCGCTGTAAGCCCTGATTTGTGAAGGCAAGCGCGCGCCTGAGAACAAGCCCAGATGAATCACAAGCTGATTCGCTCTGTTTTAAACCAGGGATTAGCAAACATTTTCTGTAAAGCATCACATAGTAAATATTTTAGGCTTTGCAGGCAAGAGGCAAAAATCAAAGACGTTGTGTAGGTACTTACATAACTAACCCACTTCTATAATATTAACAATATTCAAAACGCTAATAACAACTGAGGGCAATCTTCAAAATACATGTCCCCTTAAGAAGAAGAATAGAATTCTTTTGGAGGAAATAGCATTTCATTTAACTAGGGCATAAATGTAAAAACTATTCTTTTCCAGTGGCTCAGGAGGCTGAGACTTGGAGGATCGAGAGTTCAAAGCCAGCCTCAGCAACAGCGAGGCACTAAGCAACTCAGCGAGATCCTGTCTCTGAATAAAATACAAAATAGGGCTGGGGATGGGGCTCAGTGGTTAAGCACCCCCGAGTTCATTCTTTGGTACCAAAAACAAAACAAAACAAA